GAATACATAATCTTCATTTAATACTTTGTAAAATAGCCATTATTCACTTCTACAGCAACCAACCTCCTCTTGTATTTCTTAAGTAATGATTTGCAAATTTTAATTGGTATTTTGTTCCATTCTTCTTTGCATATGGTCTTCAGATCTGGGATGTTTGTTGGAGCTCTCAATTGGATTTGAATTTTCAAATAACACCACATATTCTCGATTGGGTTTAAATCTGAGGACTTACTTGCCCATTTTAGGATATTTACATTATTTTCAGCAAGCCATTTCTTCGTAGATTTCACAGTGTACTTAGTATCATTATCTTGTTGGAAGATCCAATCAGGAGGAAGTTCAAAATTTTCAACTGAAATCATTAAATTTAATTCCAAAATGTTTTGATATGCTGCAGCATTCATTCTACCATCTATTACTGATATGTTGCCAGTACCTTTTTGCAGAAAAACATCCCCAAAACATGATGCTGCCACCACCACCAAATTTCATTGTTGGAACTATGTTCTCTTGTTTGAAGGCATCTTTCCCCTCTATACATGATTACTAGAATTACATCCAAACAACTCAATTTTGATTTTTGTCTGTCCATAATACTCTTTCCTAATACAAGTTTTTCTTATCCTTATGTTCACAAATGAATTTCAATCTGGCATCTTTGTCTTTTCAATAGCAGTGGAATCTTCTGAGAGGAGCATGACTTTAGACTGTTCGTATGAATTTCATTGCTTATTGTCCATTTAGTGACAGATTTCTGATGAAAGCAAATCATCCTGCAGCTCTTGACAAGTAACCATTGGATTTTATTTAATTTGACACATTAATTTCCTCAAAGATCTTGAAGAAATCTTTTGTGAAGCATCTGTTCTTCTTTGGTTTTCAACAGTTTTGAGTTTTTTTTTATACCTTGCAATGAATAAACTAATAGTAGTAAATGAAATATTCAGGTTGTTTGAGATTTTCCTGTAACTTTTATCTTCTTTTCGGAGCTTAACAATTAGTTCTTTTTGCAAATTTGTTAATTCTTTACCTCTTGCCATGATGATAACCTTTTTGCACAAATACCAATTACAGAATGTTCTGTTTTTATTTTTTATGCTAAAAGTAAGAGTATTATGGACAGACGAAATTAAAATTCAGTTGTTTGGATGTAATCCCAGTAATCATGTATAGAGGGGAAAGAGTCTTCAAATAAGAGAACATAGTTCTAACAGTGAAATTTGGTGGTGGTGGCAGCATCATGTTTTGGGGATGTTTTTCTGCAAAAAGGTACTGGCAACCAAAAGTAGCTACTAATAACATTATAGGAACATTCTTGAATATGCCACTTGAATAATCTAGAGTATTAAAGCAATCTAAAAATTTCAAAATCTGAAATCTGCATTATACAAATACTTTTTTCACCCATTAAAATAAATACATGGGATTTATTTCTATTGAATCAAAATTTTTTCTGTTTTCTATGTGTATTTATTTATTATGCATCTGTGTACAATTAAATATATGAAAAGTATATTTATTCATTAGTTGGAAATACAATAAATTAAAAATTTGTATATGTACAAATATTTGTTTCCCCTTATTGTATATGACATTGAGATTTTAATGGATAATATGGTATAACTTTTCAAAAACAATTTGCATAGAGATGGCTGTACTATAATGGGCAGTCATATCATACTCGAGGATGTAATTTATTCCATGTTTTTAGCTTTGGAAACATTGGGTTGTATTACACTCTTGTCCTCATCTTTGTTGTTGTGATCACAACGTTTTGGCTGTTGTCTTCGGCATTCATCAGGTGTATATCAATCTAGATAACCTACAGCTCATTCTGAACTGAGCCTATTACCTGGAGCAATATACCTAATGATGGCTGGAAGGCACAACAGTTGAAACCTGATAACGACGATGAGGGCAATAGACTGCATCTAAATAATGATGACTCCTTATCCCAGAAATTCAAGCAAAATTTTTTTTTTTTTTTCTTTTTTTCCCAATTTTCTTTTGTGTGTTATATTGGTCAAATCTGAACTTTTTCTAAGATAGGAAAAAAAATTTTTTTTTTTTTTTTTTGTCATTCTCTTTAATTTTCAAAATATTTTGGAGATTCCTCGCCTCAAATTTAATTCGTCATGCCTTGCTTTAATTTGAAGCTGTTTCCATATATTTTTTTAATTATTTTCTGAATTTGGCACTGTGCCCTTCCCATGGTAGTTTAATCAAATATATATACCCTTCAAACTGACTATTGACCTTTAGCCTTAAGTTTCATGCTCTTTATAAAATCATGCTTAACATTTGTCATGAAAAAAGTTCAAATTTCTGTTTAAAGTGATTTTAGTTAAATTCTTTCATATAAAGTAAATGGCTGATTGTTTGCTTCTGAGTATGCCCATCTGTTAGGATGGCTCAGGTACATTGTATGTCATCAACATTTACCGAGCCAACCTGTAGTTTCTATGCTGAGCAGAGTTTCTGAAAGAAGTGTTTAATCTGGCATGATCAACAGTTTTGAACCAGGCCGGTAAGCTCAAACCCTTGGTCAAAGTGATATGTGATGTCATACTAGAACAACCATTGACAGTTTCCAAATAGTTTTATCTACTCAGTTTCTCTCACAAGGTTTGGGTCATTCTGTAATGTGCTTCCCAATGTTGCTGCATGCTTGAATTGTCTTCCCAGGACAATATTATTGAGAGATGACTTTCTTAACAAATTTGATCATGGTGAGATTCAAACACTTGGTGCTCATGGTTGGAAAGCTAACATTCTAACCACTTATCTATTTATCTCTGATAAAGTTCTTAACCATACCATGAAGTACTTAAGAAAAATCTGCTATTTGGGGAGTAGGCTTGTTAGAACTTTTCAGCATATCCTATTTTAGATCAGATTCATCAGTGTTTTACTGTTGAATATTTGGCAATTTCTAGAGAAAATATAATCTCTTTCTTCTGGAGTAAAAAAAAAAAAAAATACAATCTGTATATTTACATATAAATGTATACAATTGTAGACAAAGACTTTAGAGAACGATTTCTATTTCTAACTTACATAAAAACGTTTGTGCATATTTGTATGCTATTATATACACATAAGTTATATCACTTCAGATTCTAACTAGCATCTTTTGAACTAATTTGTATCTTCATAGGATAGTTCTCTTAGGCAAAACTTGGTTGGATAATGGAATCATTTTTATTTTGTCTTAAGTTTGTTCTCAAAATGTATGAACATTACAAAGGAATTCTCTGAAATGAATATTCTTTAATTGGTTCTTTTATATATATATATATATATATATATATATATATATATTTCCATCATTTTTGCTTTGGTCAAAAACAATTTTTTGTGTTGGTCTCTCAATTGAACCCTTTTACCGCCTAAATTCCTTAGCTATAATTCTGATTACCTCACTTTTTTTTATCTATCTAAGAACTGACTCATTTTCTATACCTATCCAAGAAGACCTTCCTGTTTCATTTTCTTCTTTCTGTTTCTAAACGGGGCACTTGACATATCCAGTCCTGATAATTGAACTGTAAATTTCTTAGGCAATTATTTTTTTCTTCTTTACTTGAACCAATATTTTTACAAGTTTTGTACACACACACACACACATTTTAGCTATTATCAAGGGAATTTTTTTTATTTTTTATTTTTAACTGAATGTGAGGGTTTTTTATGTATGTGTCTGAAGTTATAGAAATGTTTTGTTTTCCAAATGTTAATGTTATTGAGTGTTGGCTTTTCCTTTTTCATTATTAGGGCTTCTATTATTTTTAATCTTTTGTTACATGTGTTGTCTATTACATTACTATTAGTTTTCCTGATTAAACCAAACTCATAATTACAGTGGTCATGCTACTACATGTCTATCTAGGCAACTCACATTACACTTACCTGACCATAGCTCAATTAGGACTCATTTAAACAAAAAATTTAAAAAAAAAAAAATCACCCTTGATAATGGCTAAAAGAATAGCCAAAAGTGCTTGGATATGCAGAACTTTTGGACAGTCTTTCCACAATTTGTGTCCAGAAAAGAAAGCACTTGTATGAACACTGTGTTTCCTGCTAAAGGCAATTGGGTAGCCTAACAATGGTGTTTAGCATGAAACACTGTCACTCTGGGTGTTGACATCAATGTCCACTTTTATATTTACATATGCTCGATCAATGATATTGAGCACTTATAAATATAGTATACCTTTAAAACTATATTTTATTATATATATTATTTATATCTGAACTTTTATATATGCGCACAAATTCAGATATAAATAAAAAAAATATCTGTAAAAGACTATGAATAAAAACAAAAGGAAAATTTTCCTTCACTGACATGTTTTATCTTCTGAAGAACTTTATCAAGGCAAATGTAAGGAATTAGCCTAAAGAATATTTATGCATGTTCTTAAATTTTTGAAAGCCTGATAACATTTTTACTTTATGTATGTAAGGGAGTGCTAAAAAGTTCCCAGTCCAGCCAAGAAACTCATCAACCTGTAAATTTGTTTGAACAGATTTTAAGTGCACCAGGCTGAGAACTTTTCAGCACTCCTTGTGTGTTTACATATTTAAAACACACACACACACACACACACACACACGTCTGCCTGAGAAGAATTGTTAGCAACTTCCCTCACAAACTCTCAAAAGCAAGTTTTGATCCTCATTAAATGCATTTTATTTAATATACTGGTAAATATTTCAGAGTGCTTCATGATTGAGTAGGGAATACTACTGTTTTGGGAGTTTAATCGTTAGGAGCTCCCAAGCCTCATACCTTACAGAGCAAAGAAAATAAACATTATAGTAACCATGGATGTTGTAATATTGATCACTAGAAAAAATATTTCTTTTCCACAGACTTGAAGCTTACATTCATCTTGTACCTATCATAGATAATGGGTTAACCCAGTCCTTGAAATTGGCTTTTAACTGAATTCTTTGGATCTGACCATTTCATCAACAATTTTAAACTATTACAGGTCAACCTTTGATAATCTTTCTAACTTCCCTTTTCTCTCTTGTATCATCCTCTCCCACACACACTTCTCTGCACACCCTTATCTCTTTCTCACACCTCTGCCTGCCCAGCCTCTATACCCTCCACACTTTTATTCCTCTCCATCTCTCCTCCTCCCTTTCTATCTATCCCCCCATACATTTTATTATTCCTGTTCTCTCCCACACACTTCTACTTACCTCTCATTTCTCTCTTGAATAGGAAAATTAAAGTTTTTATCTATAATCTGTAACATTTTCTCAAAATTACTGACTTTGATTTGAAACACTCTAAGTTATGGTTTTGCATATATATATATATATATATATATATATATGTAGTCATCCACAGACACTGTTTCGCTGTATCACAGCTCATCAGTGCAGCTAGACATCCGGTTGCCTCTAGCTAGGATCGAAACCCGACTGAATTGGTGTCAGTCGGAGATTCTACCACTAAGCCATTGGCGCACAGCAGGGATGAAGGTGAATTTAAGTGTATTTATTTTTAGATAAACACACAGTGACTGAGAGAACTCAATTCGATTTACCGAAGAGTCTTGCATTATTAGCCGTAATAGTCACTGTTTACAAACCCACACTTCCTCCCCAGAGAGCTCAACCGAAAATAAATTTTTCAGGAGCATATATATATATATATATATATATATATATATATATATATATATATATATATATATATATATATATATATCTTTCACTCTGTGTTAATAACAAAGTTCTGTGTGTGTGTTCATGTATATATGGAGGAATGCTGGAAAGACCTACTACATTAATAATGATGGGCCAAGAACTTTTCAGCACCATCTCCATGCAAATGTATATGACTATCACAAAAAGTATATAACAAAGAACAAGACCTGTTATTGGAAATAAAATACTTTAATTTTTTAAATTGTGATTTCTACTTTCTGCTAACAATTGATACAGTTATAAAAAAAAAAAAAAATTCTATTTACAAAACTATTACAGGTTGTCTTATTTTTACTTTTTTTGCTCAGCTTATATTGAGATTTTGGTAAGGTTTCTTTTATAACAACATATTTCAAGCATTCAGACTTTAATTTCTTTTTAAAATTTTCTTTTTAATTTTTGTTCTTGGCACTCCTCTGATTCATGTCAAGAACAAAGGAGAGAGAAGAAGTGAGACTTTTCTGGGGTGGGGATTTACAATTTAGGGACATTTGTTTGTTGATATTAACAAAAGAAAATAACCTTTTTCTGATAATTTGTATCGTTGGTGTGCCCAGCTATGGGTTAAATAGTAGGGAGACTGGGTTATTTAGCCTTGGTTGGCATTTAATCTAAGAAGACAACTTTGAATCTCCAAACCCAATTAGATATTGTGAATCTCTAAACCCAATTAGATTGTTAGCATGGGAACACATGGTTGTCTAAAAGAAGAAAAACCTCATCAGTAAACTATCATGAGGCACCAAGTAGATTAGTCAGTTATATACCATGCGTGATAAATGCTTAGGCAATCATGTATCTTTTGATACAGGACTGATGAGGCAAATTTTTTCCTGCAGTAGGTTGCCATTTTTTTTGTGGTAGACCAGTTGCCATCCAAGGCTATAGAACCTGGTCTGTCCAGCTATTTACCCATAGCTTGGGGGGGGGGAGAAGAGTCATACCTTTCCCAAGGGGTATTAGCATGTAAGTGAATGTAATGGATTTAACTGGAATTCAAACTCTGCTCTCCGATTCCTCAATCAAGCCACTATCCATTACTCCACCATGCCTCCTCTCTCTACTGAGAGCACATAAATGCTTTAGAGACAAATATATATAAATGTTTATGTGGCTTGAATTATTATGTGAGATATATATATATATATATATATATATATATATATATATAATTTATTTTTTTAGAGCTATATCTGTTTTTGAAGTTTTACAAAGTATTTCTTAAGTCAATATTGGCTTCATTTCCAGTAAGTGTGCTATTTTTTAAGCATATTCTTCAAGATGTGCATATTCACGGCTCTCTACAAGTTCTTACTTGTTACTTTAAGTAACTTTACTAGCAGCATGGCCCGGCATTGCCTGTGCTTGATTCAAAAATCGTACGACTCATACAGCAATCACTATCACTTGACAACCGTACTGATGTTGCTACATGCCTTACTTCTTGCCTTTCTCACACTGCAAATTTTTTCTAAGCTCTATACTAAACATTAAATCTTTTATGAAAAAAGAACTAAACAAAATGAACACAAAACGATCAGCTTTAAAAAAGGACTCCTAACTGGAAAAACTGAATGAAAAAAGAATATTAACAACAAATACTTTTTCGCACCCAACCCAGTTCTGCAGAATCGGAATCAACGTTGAGTTTAAGCAAGCGAATGAGCCAATTGGAGTAAATTGCCATGCAGATTTAAATTTTTCCCACTTGTGACGAATGCAGCTATTGATTTTTTTATTTTTTTTTTTTTTGCATGCTAGCATGCTAGTTAACATTTGTGTCAGTCAGCTGTTGGCTCTCACACTGGCCAATAGAATCTTCCTGCCTATTCATGGCAGCCAGCTATAGGCTCTCACTCTGCCCAGTAAAAAATGGCCACAAACTACATGAAAACTGCCGTAGAAGCATGAAAAAATCGATTATTTCCAATATCAATGGGAGTTGGCCTTCCTGCTAACTTGGTGCATGTAAATTTTGGTGCAAATCTATCAAATTGTGGCCGTGCATTCGTTACACACACACCCACACACATCCTGCCTTTTATAGATAGATTATACTTCTGTCCTTGTTCTACCATCCATTTACAAAAAAAAAAAAAAAATCTCATTAAGTGACTTGTTGTTTCCTCTTATTTAGAAAAAAATGCCTTCCACAATCTAAATTGAATATAGTATTGGAAAATTTTGGATAAGCGTTATATAACATCGTCAAAATCAAAGAATAAGTTATAGTCAAAGCTAAAACCCCTTTCTTTCTTTGATAGGATATGTTTTATTCCACCTGCAGCTAATTCTTTGTTATAAATCACAGACCTGGTTCATATACTTAAAAGCTAGCATTCTTTGCTTTGTTAGAATAAGATATATAGCCTGTGTCTCATTTCAAAGATCATGTGACCCAATCCCAAGAGCTCGATAGATAGCTGAAGTATGGATGGCCAAAAATGACAAAATCTAGTATTACTGATAGTGACAAAAGTATATTCTTAAAATTAAGACAAAATTTAGTGGGCAACACTTCAGTCTTGCAGTTCCAATAAATTAGAGAGTAATGTTTTTAATTTTGTCTTTTATAAAATGCTCTTAATTCTCTCCCATAATAGTTGCTATATTTTTTTATGTGTATACAAATGTAACAGCTATTATAGGTCAGAGGTAATATTCATACAGAAGCAAAATTGGTTTTCTTTGGCTGAAAATGTATAAAATTAAATTTGATTATGTGTTTTTTTTTTTTTTTTTTTTTTTTTTCTTCTTTTCACTTTTTTATTTAAGTTTTCTTTGAATTAAAAAAATATTTTAATTATGTACTTTATGGTACATTTGTACCAATATTAATCTTTTCGGATACTAAAAAAGCATGTGTATGAAACATACAGACTCACTTAAAAGGATTTTTTTTCCTCAGGGGTAGGAGTAATATGTAAGCAAGAAAATTGGATTCCAGCACTTGATATGCAATTTTTTTTCTATTTTACAATAGGAGAAATATCTTGTTACTTAATGGTAATTCTTGTCTGTGGCACAGTTATATCAGTGTACTAATTTTTACTAATTTATTTGTTGGTCAAACAATCAATATAAATACAAGGATTTCACATCACAGTACATGTTTATAAATAATTTGATGCCATACATATTCATATCATTTCTGTCTATCATGTATGTGCAAAAAAAAACAAAAAAAAATGCCTTAAAACTAGACATAATGGCACATTGTGACACAAGTCAGTTGTTCTGTCATTCTGTCCATGTAGATTGATTAACTTGTTTCCTGCAGTTTTATTGCTGGTCTTTTAAACATGTTTTGTAATTTTTCATAATGGATGATAAAATAGGACATTATTTGTATGATTTTTTTTTTTTTTGTTTTGGAAAAACTGTTACTGAAACTCAAAGTTACAAGAAATTTTTTCAAGTAGAAATGTTTGGTAAAAAAAAATCATATGCAAATGGTATTAACATTTCAAACTGTGAAATAGCTAAGACCAACAACAATCTAGCAAGCCTTCAGCAGAAAAGGCTTGGCACAATGAAATAATGTCTGATCATTGATATCTAAGGTGATTGGTTTGTCTTGGAATTCATGTCAGTGAATGTTATCAGAAGCTTGAAAATTTAACTGTTTTTACAAAATCTTTTACTTGCTCAAAGAGGATAAAAACAAATACAATTGGATGAATGTGACATGGTTTTCCTGCAGTAAAAAAAAAAAAATGTTAATTTCTTACAAATGCACTATGCTGAGAAGAAAGTATTATGAAGATTTCTGGTTGATTTTGGGTATCCCATATATATATATATATATATATATATATATATATATATATATATATATAGAGAGAGAGAGAGAGACACACACACACAGTTGTATGGATATTAGTTTGTAACCCTGGGTTTCTTGCTTTTTTGCAATCATCAGACAAATGGATTTATTTTTTAAAAAGTGGATCTAAATGCTTATTTGTGTTTGATTATTTGTGTGTGGTGGAGGGGGGAATTTTCTTCTGTGTTTGGGATGAAAAGAAGAAAATCACCCCCTCCACCACAGACAAATAATCAAACACAAATAAGCATAAATATATCCACTTTTTAAAAAATAAACCAGTTTGTCTGATTATTGCAAAAGCATCAAACTCTGGGTTACAAACTAATATCCATATAACTGAATATGTTAGCTCTATCACATATATTGAACACTTTACACTAAGTACAGTGTATATATATATATATATATATATATATATATATATATATATATATATATATAAAAAAGAAAGAACAGTACGATATATAATCCAGTGTTCTTATAGATATTTTTATTTTTACAAAATAGTGCTCAATGTAAATTTACAGAGCATTAATATTATAAATTAATTGATTTAAAAATATGTTTTTCAAGCTACACAGTTCTAACCTTGTTTCAAAAATAGAAGCTAAAAGCCCTGAATTTAATTTTGCAAATAAAAATTAAAAGCATTAGTTCCATTTCATTCAGGGCTTTT